GCCTGTCGAGCGGTTTACCGGGGTGTCGCTGTTGTTGTATCCAAACAGCTTCTGGGAGCCACAGATGAGAGCTGAGCACCCAGTGGAGACCAAAGAACGGAGGATGCCCCAAAGGGCCGACAGCCCTCCAAGTCAGAGGTGCTACTCCTACCCCATACACCCCTATGGAAGTCGACCATTTGCTCCACTGGACGACCGCGATTACCTAAAGCTCTACACCTAAACTCAATATTGCTCATCCGGTTTCCCCACCAGACACGTGCAATGCTACGTTGACAGCGGTGTTCGAACACCGACAATCTATTTGTTATCCTGTTCTCGTTATGTCCAAGTCTCTGTACGGTAAATCAGGGAACGTGAAAGCGCTTTCTAAGCAGTGTAAGTGTTCTGGTTATTCATGTGAAATCATTCCGGAAAATTGGCCGAGTTACAAGGAAACATTCCATCTAAATCAGTTTCCTTATGATGACTGAGACTGTATTATACGTCGAGGTCTAATTTATAGATTATTTGCACATTCTGTGAGCTCCGTGCCGGTGATCGAGGTTCGCTTCACCTTATTTCGCACTGCAAATACTATACCTCGTTACGGGCGTCAAGTACTAATGAGTTTTGGTTTTTGTTGAGATGATGTCAGGTTGCATGGCGTGGAGGAACACAATAGAATCTTTTACTAATCTACATCATCTCGTTACATTAGTTGAGAACCATTACTCCCTGATTAATATTTTTTGATTTCCTAATTTGCCTACTAATGAGTAGTACGTTATAACTCGAAAAAATAAAATAGTTGGTAAACGCTCGGAAGTCCATTCTGTTTTTCTTCTGTTTGGTGATGAGATTTCTATTTTCTGTATACCTTTGGCCTGTTCATTGTGTCTTATTGGATTCAATTATCATTGAGACTGGTTTTATCAAACTCGATGACATTTTAACTGTTGTGGAGTAGTAAGAAACATGGATACTGTTGGTGCAACCGACTGCATTTCTGTTCACGGATGATGGTCGGATCAAATCTCGCAGTAAATAGAGTAGTCCGTGTACTGCTGACAGCCTAATGGAGCTTGTTGGACACCAAGAATGTGTGAAACAGGTCTCAAGTGTCTAAACTCCGACGAACAGGGCACCGACCCCTATCTTGTTGTCTTTCGCACACCATCTCGCTTCCTTTTTAGTCATGCTTTGATTAGTCGAATTCTCCCTTTATGAATCCTTAAGAAAATCACCTTGTTTTTACTGGACACCCTAATAGTAACACACACAAACGAATCATGAATATAATTCTTTGCCAATACAATTTTCGTAACGTGACTTGTTTGACTTACACTCTCAGTCCATCGAATTGCGTAAAATCGTGATAATATTACTACGGCGTAGAGTTGTGTTTCTCCAGCGTTTCTCGAATTAGCGTTGTACAATACCCTTACAATATCGGATAGATTTTTCATTAAGTTTCACGCTGTCCAATGAAGTAGTCTATCACCTGGAATGTATTCGTGCCTATATAATTGCATCTTTCCATATAGTGTGAGGTATTTTCATACATTCGACGCACCAAATGTTAGTTCGACCAGTTTGCTCCTTTGATGATGCATTTACACCTTTCTGACTCTTGGGAAGCTGAACCATTACCACCTGTAGGTAATACGAATAGATTCTTCGGGAGAAAAAAACAACATTGCAGTGACTAATCTTACTTTCTGGGAATTTTCAACCAGTATCCACATAAATCGTGATGAGTTTCACCAACAGTATCACATTTGGTGCATCCTGGATTCAGAAAATAGTAAGAGGCTATATGTCGCTGCCTAAATGTAGTAAACAGCTTTACCTCATTCTTCGAAGCAAATTTGTTCTCAATTTTCTGAATACTTCCTATGGGAAACTCAGGGTATCTGGGACCAGTTAGTTATCGTTCGTTTTATTCGAGTTCTCCGAGTAGGGTGTGGCTCTGTTCGGTGGGTGCGAACTATCGGTCGTCATTAGGGTGTCGTGGCAATCTACCGTTACTGGCCATTTTCTCCCTCCCGATCCTTACGGTCAGGGAATCATGTCCCCGTCTGTCTGTGAATCAAGGTTGACGCCCTTGTGGCGTCGCGCGAATCGGGAGGAGGTATTTTTTTATTGACCGACTGCAAATTGTTCGACCACACCCAACATTTGATGAACCTATTTGGCATCTTTTTAAAAGCAAACTCGGAACTACCATTCCGTATATTTGTAGCAAAATCATTCTCAACTCCTTAGCAAAGTCAGTGATATTATTCGGATGCAATCGTTCCTCTGTGTGAGACAGTTACGAAATTGATTTGACTGGGGATACGCAGTCCGATTAATTGATTCGTTTCATCCGTCAAACGCTCCTTGTGTGTTGGTTGTCGAGAGTAAATCGCCCCATTGACGTACACTTTTTTTGGAGGGGGGGGAGAGGATTTCGATTTTTGGGACCTACACGATACGAAATGATGGAAAATTTTGCTTACATAGCCAAGGGCTTGTGTTTTATTGAGAGTTCAATACGGAGCTGCACGAGATGTCTTCGATCATATTTCGTTACTCACCAAAAATGGTTTTTAATTTGTGGACATGGACGAAACTCGTGGTCTTTCATTCCATTGTTCATGAGCTAAACTTGCAGTTCTGTCTCCCGATATATTTTTGATTGCACACACACTGCTGTGTAATGAACAGCAAAAGGATTGTCTCCTTAGCCATGCAAGGGGGGATAGGTTAGCGAAATGTCAAGACCACCGTCGTATATGGTCAATATGGACATATACGTGGCAAAGCTACACGCTTGTGGTTCACATCTAAACTCATCATCTGTTTACCACCCGAAAACAAAATGTCTGACCCGGTGGTCACATTGTGTCTACTCGGATATTTGGAACAACGCGCATACACATCGCGGTCAGTTGATGGTCCGAGTGGATCCTGCCTGGCCTGGGCTAAGCGGATCTCCATCACACGAATTACAATGCGATTTTGGCCTAGGCATTCTGTCCCCAGGATAGAGTTTACGGTTGACCAACAAGGCAGATTCGCTGTCTCAAACGCTAGCCACACAGCGTTAGGGGTGTCTGCGCAATCTTTCCGCGGGTCGACAAACCACTTATGCAGGTGCCCGACAGCAAACATTCTGTCACTGCGTTTTCTGCACTTGACTTCCCAGACTATTTTATCGGATGGTTACGAATCGGAATATTTTGTGCGTGATTTCGAGCCTTGTATGATGCAACCTTTTCTTACCATTTCTCTCTCGTTTCGTCCTCATCCGATGGGTGTTTAAGGTTGTAAAATACTGTTTGTGGCAAATTTTCAGGGCTCTGAAATACGTAATTTTTCATTCGGAGTTGAAATTTTGGTTTATCATAGCCTTCTATCACTTGTTCTAGACAATTGGGTGAGCGCATACACGCTTTGTAGTAGTCTTTTCTCTCTCTCGTCGGCTAGACGAGTAATTTTGGACCATTACTTTTTAAAGTGGGTTTTTCCTTCGCCAAAGTAAATCGGTTTCTAGGACGAATCCATAGAGAATTATGATTGTGTAGCACAGAGTGACATCGTGTGTATTGCCTTGTCTTCCCCCTTAAATGACAACGTCTCTAGTTCTTGCAAAGCCAAGTACTACCCGTAGAACAGTGATAGTTCTTTGTGGTTGTAAGGGGATTGTAGGGAGCGAGGCAGAGTTGAACACAGGCAATGACGCGTCCTACGGATATCTGTATTATTAGTTTCAAATATTACTTGTTTAGTAAAATTTTCAACGAGTTCCCGGGCACAGCCCGGAGATCTGCCTGGTCACGTACGATTCAGCTGACAGTAGGATTTTAGTAGTCCTTCAGGAGCATATTTGCTAGTAAATTGCACTACTCGATCCCTCTTGATGGTTTGACGTTTCACCATTGTCCAATCAATCAATCTCCTGTCCATCGTTTTCCTCCGGGTTTGTGAATTTTATCTGCATGTTGCGGACTGTTGACCTCGGACTTTCCCGCACATTTCTCATTGAGTTTTTTTCGCGATAATCTTTTTCTGTTCGCTTTTTTTAGCTGTACCATAATAGTGAACGCATTGAAAAACCCATCCCACCTGTTGGGACTGCTCATTCTTGCGAACGACCCACATTCGCGGATCATCAGGAATCCCGTTCGCTTCAAGTCTACTCTGATGTGGGCTCATCTACTCCGTCAGTTGGTGAAGTTTCTCGGTCTTCGGGTTCCGTATCTGATTCGGCGGATAGCACTTCTTCAGGTACGCGAATGTTACTTCATCCATCCATCCTCACAACTGATTCAGTTATTGTGTGATAATTTTGGTTGTTTGTTTTCTTTCACTTACGTTCGTTGATGATTTCTCATAAGGCTATTACATCACTGTCGTGAGACAATACTCAAAAGTGTTTTCACATGTCTCAAAATAAGCAGCCACGGCCGTAGTCAAAAAAAGACTTGGCTTGAGAGTGTGGGATCCGTAATCAGGATACTAGGTCTTATAGGTCGCGTTAGGCTTCTTGGATAGGGATCTCAGGATCATCGTAACCGGTGGTTACAGACGCTGGGTGATGACTGAATACCGCAAACAGTGGCGCTCGTGCGTCTACACACTTCAATTTTAGTCCCGGTCCCAAAAAGGGCCATAGATTTAGATGCGAAAATCACAGGAGTATTAGCCTAATTGATATTGCGGCCAAATTGTTTGCAGTGATACTGCTTAATCGCTTCGCAGTCGTCAGATATACCCACACTAACCCGAACCAAAGGGGGTTTCGCCACGAAAGAGGCTGTGTTGAACAAATCTTCAGTCTCCGTAGGATTCTGGAACACCGCTACAGGTTCCAACAGCCTACCACAGCATGTTTCATTGACGTCCGCGCCGCGTTTGACTCTGTCGATAGAGAATCCTTGTGGTGCATATTGCGGTCCGACGGAATGCCTGAGAAGTTCATCAGGCTTTTGAAGTCATACTACTCAGGAACCCAAGCACGCGTCCGTACCTATGAGGAAGAAATTGAGAGAGCGAAATAGAAGGATAAAACTGGATCGCATAACCAATCGATGTGCAGAATGGAGTGGTGAGTACCAACCATTTGAGGAGAAACCTGATGACAACTTTAGATCGAGCAGAACGAAAGGTTATTTACAAATGTCACTCCGAATATACTCGATCAAAATCTAAAAAATTAAACAGGAACTTAGCCCATAGTTTGCTCATGACGCGTATCTATACAAAGGCGACCCACTATTTTTTTACATACAATACCCCTTCACACACATGCAAATCATCCTATTGGGTTATCCCGCGTTGTCCCACCTCGCTCCACAGAGTACGCACCCAAAGTGACTGATCCGCTTCTTCGAAAGCGGGAAATTGAGGCGCGGCTACGTGAAATCGATTCAACCGAACGCCAGCTGCGTATAGAAGACCACTCTGGACAAATGGATCGCGTCCTGTACCGTCGGTATGTTTGTCCTGCCGGTTTTTTCCGCTATGTGCCAAATATTCCGTAAAATTTTCCTCAAGTTATATCGGCCTTAACCTTTTAAATCTAGTAAGGCAATAAATATGCAGACCCCTGTCGATCATATCTTAGATTGATTTTCTTAGCTCCGATTGGCAATGTTCGTGCTACTGATTTCGTTTGATTTGATAATCATCGCCACATTCCACGCGGTCATGTGATCTCCGGTTCGACTACTCTTTTTGCCTTGAAATTATCTACTGAAGATGGAACATAGTGCCCAACACGTTAAAAAGATACGGATAACTTTTTTGTCCGCACTCATCTGACAGTATTGGGGATCCATTGTTTCCGAGGTGGGGTGGGGGAACCGAATGTTCCCATTCCTTACGACCAGCATGCTATAGTGCACACAATGCCATCAACCCCACCGTTTTTACAGCAGTTGCCTGGTGACTAAAGCAGCCAAGCTGATGAAATTCGGTGTGTTCATGCGACGACTTTCCATTGGTGTGGAGAAACAAAAGGAAATGGAATTAAATTTCAACTGAACGAAACGGATTTGTCCCCAGGGGGATTCGAAATACCATTAACTCTACTGTGAATGCCGTTCTTAAAATGCTTTGCGTAGCGAGCCACGAACGGTGAATACCTCAGAGGTGCGTTAGGCGACACCCAGTTGCACGCAATGTTCACATCACACGTGGCAAGTGGACGACAATCACCAAGATCACCTATCGGGGCTAAGGTCATGTATCCCTCGTTTATATAAACAGAACGGTACTTGGTTCAAGGTCGTGGATGACTAAAACAAAGACCTACAGTATTCGCATTATCGCTGGAATTTGTATATTAATGTAAAATTATGTATAAATCCTCAATTTGTTGCATGCACCACCTGGAGAGCGGTTTCCTCGATATCCTATGTCACTTGATTGTCTGATTTGCGTTCATCAATACTGGTGTTAGCCACTACAGATATATGCAGACCAATTTTACGCTGGCAGCCAAGCGATTGTGAAGTCAAACTGAAAACGAATGAATGAGAGTTACATTAGGTTCCTCCGCCGACCATGTCAACAAAAAGAACGTTATTTTGGTTTTCCCTTAACCTGGTGACATGGCACATCTATCTCTTCCCCTTTTTGTTTGTCTTAATTTTTTTTTGCCGTGCTATGTATAAACATCGATTGTTTTGCAGTATGCACCTTGTTGAGATGTAGCGAAACCATCCTGGACATAAACCGTGCATTATTGCGAAATTTAATCAATTTTCGCACTATAAACAATCGAATTTTCAGCAGCACAGTATTGTTCTCATCTCTGCTTGTTTTCCAGTGATGGAACACGTCATTCCGTGATTCGTTCTCGCCGAAGTCCATCGGACTCCCCGGATTTCGAAGCTCGTCTACATCGAATTCGAGCGAATCACCGAAGCTCACGATACTAACAACCACTGTCGTCACTCTTCCTTTCACTTCACTGTGGTTCCTCATTTTTCCCTAAAGAACCAGCGAACCGTTTCCTATGGGAGTTTTTGTCTCGCCTCCCTCCCAGCCGAACAGAGGAATGTGACCCGAAACGTACACCTCCGGGGGAAAAAGCTGCACTGTTATGTGCACGCTAATCTTCTTTTCCGACCCCACGGATCTGTTTGTTCAGCCAGTTGTCTTCAATTCTAATCCCAACGTGTACAGTTGTTCGTGTTTTATTTTCGCCCTGTATTTTCCTCTCTTCTTCACCCCATCACCCTATTTCGTAATTCTTCGTCAACAAAGCTGACACTACTATATAGTTGAATTCTGTACCACGCGGATCGATAGGCTCCGATTTGGTGACGGAGACAGAGTACGGGAGATCCGGACAACATATGCTTGCACTAATTTTGACAGGGTTTTTCAAGCCAAGACTGATTAGTGAACTGAGGTGAATAGGTTAAACGAACTGATTTCTGCGCGGAAGTTGTCAAGTGTGGGGCTGGATATGGCGGTGGCGAATTAGCTCGCCTCAGAGCATTTGCCTTCATCCGCTTCGCAAACTTTTAGGTGTATATTTCGACTTGGCTAGTTTGTTGCATTATTCGCCTCGGGCAGTGACCAGAAATAGGATATTATAACGCAATAATAACGCCTAAGAACGTGGGTTACGTCGCAGAATAGCTATATCGTCAAGGCCGTCGGCAACCATGCTTGTTGAGTATTGAAAGGGGTAAGTATTTCTGTTGTGATCAAGCCAACGGAACCAACAAGCCAGGAATAGTTCACACAGCCGAACGATATTCTACATCTTGAGGGGGCAAACCTCAGCTTTGATTTTTCTAGATTGCAAAACAGACTAAACCAAAATCAATCAAAGTAATCGACGAGACATCTGGTAATTTGTTCACGGCTTGTTGCAGACTGCAGCGGCGTTTGGGGACATAACTGTAGAAAGGAAAAGCTGTCAACAATGACCTGTTATGGTCGAGTGAGTAGCCTATAGAAAAGGGGGCCATGGTATGTGGGAACTGCCGGACGAACGCTGACCAAGCGTTCTACCATCAGGTTTCCTTGCACACATACTCATGTGAGGTCCGTTGGGCGCATAATGCTTGCTACGAAACGTGGTAGTAAATGGAATGTGATTAGGCGCGGATAACCGTCGACATGATGCAATAGCTGCACGAGACTCATTTGAGTCTAACAGACCATTGAAAATACTTTGCTGGTCTGTCGTCTTGCGCAACAGGAATTCTCGCACTTACCATTACCGTACACTATATAGCTACTTAATTGTTATTCGAGGTTCCGTTGCAATTTATCGACTTGAATAGAGTTCAGAAGCCGAAATGCTAATCAAAACTGCAAGAACTGGATCTAGTTTGTTTTTCTATACAGGCTACTAATACAAGCTGATAATGGACATTAAATAGATCTTTTGGTTGCGTTGCGCTGAAAATGGATGGCGCTGGAGCGTTGGACCTACAACCGACCGTCAATGCAAGCTGAGTCG